CAGGGAACAATAGAGGAATGAACCGTATACCAAGGAGTTTCCCAGCCCACAATGACTTTCAAACCGTTCTTGAAGATGCATGATGTCATTCAAATTTGATGCATTCACGAGGTCAACATCCATTATAAATTATAAATTATTGTTTAGTATATTTATTTAGGATAAATATATACATGTTATATTACCTATAATATATGTAAATTATGAATAATTTATTTTGACGTTAGATTGTTACGCTACAATCATACACATATATACCCCATGAAGGCATGAACCATCATAGTTACTCTTTTCAAGCGGAAAATCTATTTGGAATTAAAAAAAATATACTCTTAATTACACTAATAAATAATAATGATAATGTTAAGCCATTATTCTATTAAAAAAATAGAGTGATGTACCATTACTTTACACAGTGTATTTATTCTATTATTTGGTTGCATAGGATGATTTGTTGTAAGAGAAGGATGTCTCGAATTGGGATAGTTCTAGGCACGAGAATGTTGTGAGATTTGATGCTGACTGTTCGGTAGACATCGAGGTGAGTTAATTTCGTGGTTTTTAAAAGTACATTGTTAGGAGAATCTCATATCTTAGATGAAATAGGATGAACTTAGTTACCTAGAATGTATGTGCCCCATTTGGTATTGAGTAATCTGTCATGGATGTTGTATTGCTTTATATGTAAGTGAATCTAGGATATGTTCATGGTAGTTTCTTATTTGTTTGATGTGAGATGTGTGATAAGGCCATGTTATATGGAGTGTTGTACATGGATATTATGTGATGTGAGCATGTCAATATTTGTTTGAAAATATTTGCCTAAGTTGTTTTAGGAGAAGCATGCTAGTGTTGTAAAAACATTATTGAAGTGTTGTCTATGAAAGTGGTGTATGATGTAAAATGTAATAATTAAATAAAAAAATTTACATGTTTACATGAACATGGACCCTTAAAGAAGTAATATGTTAATAAAAGAAAAATCATAATATTTGCATGATTACTTGAAGAGGGTAAAAGTGTAACTCCTTAATTGATTAATTATTATTAAATTAAAAAGGGGAATACACAAGAGGGGCGAAGGGTAGTAACCTAGACATAGGTATATACCCTATCCGGATTATTGCGGGGACCCGATGGGTTGAATAACGCCTACAGGAAAAGAGCTTAAGCCAAAGCGGTGTCGAATGATTTTTCTAGGAGATCATTCGAGACATGGTCCGAGCGGTGGGTGGACTAGAGTGATGTTGGTCTAGCGGTGGGGCCAGCACAAACATCACGTGGGATTGGGAGGTGTAACGCGGTGGAATAGGCACTGTTTGTACCAATCCTTAACGACAACGCATGTATACGTATGTGCAAAGTCGGAGTAGCGAACGCTACGCACCGGGAGCAATGATTACAGGTGAGAGTCGCGCCTCACCTAGTGCATTGGGTCGTGCAGGTCACGTTAGTAGCGAACGTGGTACTTGCCTTAGGTTTTGCGGTGAATAAATAGACCCTAACTAGGAAGCATTACTTTAATAATTACAGTGATAGTAAGCGGTAGTAATTATTAAAATAAAGCGGAGAAAAATATTATATACTAATATTATAGCGGTGAAAAGATAGAAAATTAATTACAGTGTGGTTGAGGAGAGTAACTAACAATAAGAAGCTCTAAGAGAAGAATAAAATTAATTGAGCTAACGGTGTTGGATATGCGGTGTGATGTTGTTAAGTCTTGTTTGTGAGTCTTTGATCATGTGGGAATGTATTGTGTGATCCATATATGATATGTGTGTTCTTTTAACAATGTAGTCTAATTGACTCACTTAGTTTTTGCTAACACTTGTTCTTTTCTTGTTGGTTGTTGTGCATTGGAACAGGTAGCCTGACATGATGCATTGGTGAGGATGGGAACTCTTTGGGTGGACGTATTTAGTATCTTTAGATATGATACCATTTGGACATGTTGAGTTTTCACCATTTTGTTTTTGTGAACTTTAAATTTTGATGGGTTTGCTTTGACATGAAAGTAACATTGGTGATGTTTTTGAAATATTCATAATAAGTCTTCCGCAAACCTAATATATTAAAAAAACGTACTAAAAAAAAGAAAATTTTTGGGTGAAAAATCACAGCGTTACAATATGCATATGTATTTGCATATGTTTATGTCATATCGTTATTCTTATACATATTCATATACATAAGCATAATCATATGTATTTAATTGTCATATGTACATATTTATTCTTATGCATATGCATATGCATATGAATATGTATATGTATATGCATGTGCATATATTTATTCATATGTATACATATATGCTTCTTTTATTAAAATAGGGAGAGTAAAAAGGAAGGTATTATTTTTTTTATTAATATATGGTATGAGGGAAAATTGGTCAATTGCGAATGTGATATTAAGTAAAATTCAACCAATGAAGTAAATTAGACACTTTAGAAGGAAAAGTTGGGAAAAAATACAAGTAACAAACCACTTTGACATGATTCATGAAAACTAAAAATAATATGCTTATTAATTGAGACAATAGTCTAAGTTATAGTATGATAAATCCTTATGTAAAGTATTGGTAATATACAAGTCAAAAAGTTGGAAAATCTTACGTTGGAAAGTAGCATTCTATGTTGGATATGAAAATGCAAATATGAGAAACAACTCAAAACATAAGTATTATAATTATTTGACATGTAAATATGCGTATATGAAAGAAATAATAAAGTTTGATCAACAACAAAGGTAAAATGTTTGAAGTCTAAGGGCGTGTTCGACATAGATCGTTTGGGGGCGTTTAGGAGCGTTTGAGAGCTTCTAGCTTCTAACATTTGACAAAATGCTCCGTTTTGAACATAAAACCGCTTTGGCACTACAAGCTTCTAGCGTTTAGTTTAAACAAAGCGTTACCAACTACAAGTCACCCGCTATCCGCTACAAACTACCCGCTACCAACTAGTTTTGCCGAACACACCCTAAAATGGACCGAAAATGGTTGCGGTTCAACTAAAATTTTGTATTGTTAGTAAATATTGGTGCATATGAGTATGAATTGGAATTGGAATAATTTAGTTTAATATTGTTAGCAAATATTGGTGCATGTGAGTATGAACTGGAATTGCAATACCAAAGGGCTTCTAGCCCAACAGTATAGCAGTATCATCAGGTGGTGCGCTTTCTTTTTGAGGTTGAGGGTTCAAGGCCGTTGTGGACATAGGTGAAATTAAGTGTTAGTTTAGGAGTATATTTATATATTTATATTTGCCGGATTTAAAAAAAAAAGAATTGGAATTGGAATTGGAATTGGAACAAAAATAATATTTATACTATATTGGAAATATTTTGTTTTTAACAAATTAAATGGAAGACGGTAAAAACTGACAAGTTCCAATTTTTAGTAACTTTGTCGGAAGTAAGATGCCAAAATTAGTGTAAAGTATGGAATTTCATAAGGTTTGGCAACCTAAGCTTTTATACATATAAGCTGATTTGAACTTAAAAGTTACTAGAAATTCATTCTCAAATACAAGAAAAAATAAGATGCTTAAATGAAAAAAATGATTAAGCACAAGTATTCAAGGAAATAATAGTTTATGGGAGAAGTCGGCTAATTAGTCACCAAAAGTAAGTTTTGTGCTTTTAGGAACCATGTTAGAACTATTGGAATAAGTTTGGAATTATGTTAAATGTGTTCTCACATTTTTCATATCATTTATTCACTTAATACTCTAATATTTGAAAATATTGTATTATTTTTTTTTTCTAGATTAACGTTTTCAATGGTTTTATAACTTTGTCATCGTCATCAAAATTGTATTCTAACGGTCATATTTATCTTTCATTTTAAATTAGTAATCATCGTTTCATTCGAATGATTAAATTTGAGAGGCGACCGTTGGGTACCGGTTGAACTATATAACATACACTCTTGTTATGTATCTTTATTTTTTATGCATGGCCTCACTTTCTTCTTGATCTTGAAGGAAATTGTTTTATTCCACCTTTTGTGTTTAAAAGGGTAGGATGTTGCAATCTACTCTAGATTTTGAGGATCAAAATTTTAGGCTTCGAATTATAATTCGAAGGACGAAACATTGAGTAATTGGTGACGCTAAGAAAGTTGCCAAAGAAGATGATAAAAGGTAACCTTGTCACTTTCATATATATATATATATATATATATATATATATATATATATATATATATATATATATATATATATATATATGCACTCTCGTGTCATAACACAAGAACAATGTCTACGTAGGAAGTTTAGTTTCATAACAAGGTGCGTCATGATCTAATATGTGATGTTGGACATTCCAGTCTACGAAAGATAAATATGTTGGAGTCGCACTAATGTCACATCCACCTCTTTTATCTAAGGCTCTTTTGGAAAGAAAATCAATGAGTCCATATTTAACATGGTATAAGAGCTAACGTCTAACACCTCAAAGGGTTAGAAGTTGTTCTACAAATCCAAAAGTGAAACCTCATAGTGGCAAGAAAGCCAATACTAATGACTCTAGCAATTGACCTATCATATATTGCTAGTGCTCTGCGATTGACCTCTCATGTAATGGACCCTGAGGTATGTTTGCTTCTTAAATTGTGCAGTTTACTATTTTTTTAATGAGTAACATTTTTACAGTCTAACTAGTTGTTTCCAAAGCTTTGATTTTCCACCTCATTTACACATGCATCATTCATTTTTTCCCTTTTCGAGCTTAACTAGTTAACGTTGTCTACTTGAGAGTTTATAGTATATAATTTTAAGGGATGAAGATTATAAAGATGGGTTTTTATTTTTATCATAATTTTTTTTCTTTTTTTTTGTATTAAATTCATATTTGCTTTTTAGAATTTTGGTTAAAATCGTTTAATTTAAGAGTTTCCATAGAAGAGATAAGAAGGGGAGGGAAGATACAAAGAAAACGGGTTATTTATAAACAAGGAGATGAGGGTTACAAGAGGGACAATTTTTTTAATAATTTAACATGTGGGTTGTATAAATTGACTATGAGGGACCAAAAAGACTACACTACATACATGTCCTATAACAAATGATGCCTTTTTAGGCCCATAGATGACTTATATTCCAAGAGTGAATTTTCTCAAATGTTTTTTAAGCCTCAATTATAACTTTATCTAGAAAACACATATGGCAAAAAATCAATCCAATCATTAATTTTATCATTAGAAATGCTAGACCCTTTCCTTCACAAGAGTTGTGGTGAGGTGTTTGCTATCCCACACAAGAACCAATGTTTCTCGATGTATCGACACTGTGGAAGCCCGAACATGTTGCGGATCAAAAATGCATCTATGAGTATGAGATTTACATCTTGCTATTTTTACATGACTTAAGAAGTGCCGATTATCAACCTACATTATATAAATATAATCACCAATCCATCAAATGAAACTTCAAATATGCTCATAGGCCAGGACACGACATGATAGAATTGTACTGTGTTTTCATGCACGTGTGTTACTATGACTGATGTCACTGGGACAAAAATTGTTGGGACTGTTAATGATATCGATAAGTTTACCCTTGAAAGCAATCACTCTTTATCCCTAACAATAGAGAGGTGACACTTTCGACCTAATTATGTAAAAATTAGTCCATTTGGTTTATAATTTAGGATGAAGTATGATGGTTTGTTTAATATCATCACTACAATTAATAGTTAAGTGGCTAAATCAATACAATAGTGAAAGTACATGTTTTTTTAGTAATTTTCCCAATAATTTATATCCAAATAGTCAAATGGGTAAAATTCAAAAACTTCACTGAAAATGGAACAGGTCAAACAAGTTGATGGTCAACTCAATGGGGGTCTATCTTAGAAATTTCTGTCCTATGAAGTTTGCAATGATTAAATTGACACATATATAAAGGGATGGTTTGACTACTAGTGAAATGACTAGAATACCCTTGAAAGAAAATAATGTTGTGGAGGGTAACTTACCTCAGGAATGTCAAAGTCTTTGTCTCTGTCCTTTGCATCACATACATCAAGGGAGATTTTTCGAAGCATTGGCAGCTGTTTTTTTATCATAAGATCACAAGGGTAAAATGTCCATATTATTGTATAGGAAAAAAACAGTATTATAGTAAGAGCATATATACCTTGGTTACAGCTTCATGAATAAAACCTTTCTGAATCCCAGACCCCTGCAATCAAAGGTTAAAGTTGAGAGTTAAACTGATGTTTTGAGGTTATTAATATTTATATTACTATTATTATTATTATAAAAAGTTTAAAAAATGCCAACTAGGATGTCATACCACTTAAAAATCAAACATCTCATAATACGCCAATTGCCAAATCATCGAATAATAACACATCAACAAAACTTATTGTTGTTTCAATATTATTTTTCCTATATGCAACTATTATATTCTAGAAGAGGGCTTACATTGTGGCGCAACAAGATATCTTCAAGGGCACAACAGTCAAAAAGAGACACAACACCGTTTTTGGTAATTTCTCCACATTCCTATGAAAAGATGTTAAGAAGAATCAGTGAATACATTTTCAAAAGGGTATATAATATTCACAAAAGTTAAAAAAGGGTCGAAAAAATTGATTTTTTTTTTTTTTGAAACAGCCGAAAAAATTGATATTTTTTTAATTTACATGTCATTATAAAATATCTAATAATTCTAGTTGGAACAAAGATGTTAACAAGGAAAACAGAAAACATGGCTCCATAACAAGTAAATTTTAAAGAATTTTAGATTTGTTTTTGTTGACCACTTTTTTTATAATATAGAGAGGAAGTGTTTGTTGCAAACCTCTAGATGGATAGAGATCAAGCCTGGCCACCCACTTGAAATAATCTTTTGTGATTCTACATACACATTGTAAGATTGAATTAACATTTGTGTAGTTATAGACAATTATACCCTTTTCATGAAACAGGCATATGAAGACTACAAACCCGAATTCAGAAGTGGGCATCCAAGCAATGAGAGCTCAATCAAGTTTGCACAATTGTGAGTTAGGTTGACCAAGTCAACATTGTTCATCCATGGTGCTACCCTTTCAAGTCTCATCTTTCTCAAATTTGGCATCCTCACTTTAAAACCCAATGAAGATATCTCACCAAGACAATGACACAGTGAAAATGATTTCAGATGTTTCAGTGATTCCAGCATGTTTATTATGATATCATCTGAAATCACCTGCCATGTGTAAAAAGACGTAAATGCCCTCCTCATTCTAACCATTGAAAATAACAATGATTATATACCTGAAAATAGAGAACCACAGACTCCAGTAAAGGAGAAATTACAGGAAGCCATTTCAGTCCATCTTGACCTAAGGATCCACCCAAACCTACTTCTATTTCTTTAAGAGATGAAAGTGAAGGCTTTAAATTTTGAAGAGATAAATATGAAAATCCCCACCCAACACTAATTTCCTCTAATTTGCAGGATCTGACAACTTCAAAGAAAAGGTTTTTGGATTCATGGTGGAGAAACTTGTTGTTGTTGCATCCTCTTGTTTTTAAACATTTTAAACCAGGATTTCTGCCAATAATATGAGCCAAAACAGCACTTGAAACCTGAAATTCACAAGTGAGTTATATCTTTAATAACAAGTATCTAAACAAGATTTATTTACAATACAGATACATGATTCAAAGAAGTGTATTTGAAAATGAAAACTAACAAATAAAAAACAAGTAAAAGAATGAAGTTTTTTCTTAACCTTGGTGTTAGAAACATCAAGCACCTCTAATGAAGAACCAAGGAAATTAAAAAGGACATCATCAACCACTTCAGTATCCCTCAAGCAAAGATTCTTCAGCATGTATGCTTGAGACATAAGCTTTGAAAAACAACTCAGGTTGATGCCTGCATAACATAAGACACAAAGATCACATTTGTCTCAACTCCATTCCAAACTATGTATAGATGTCCATATATATACATAATATTATATACATGCATACATATATACATATGCACACTTACATAACATACACACAAAATCATATATATATATATATATATATACATATGTACATACATGCATACCCATCCCATGTTAGGATGTAATGAATGATTGAGAGAGAAAGAGAAACAAAGAACAGATTGCAGAAATGTTTCTCTCTTGTATTACATTTAGAAGAAATGAATACATATATATTAAGCTAAGAAGAGCTAACTAACAGAAACTTCATATAAAATGACGATTATACCCTTCTATCTAACTACTATCCACTAACTGAATTAACAACTATTACAATGATGGTTAACATCCCGGCCCCACATCCCTTTGTCACCAATCTGCAAAGGGATAGATGTGGTGGGGGGGGGGGGGGGGGGGGGGGGGGGGGTATTTGTATTAATACTAATAATGAATGGAAAGTATAAAAATGGGGGCAAAATAGTCATTTTACAAAGGCTTAACCTACTAAAACAAACAGAACAAAAAAGCATTACCAAACAGTGAAATAATAACAAAAAAAACTGAAAAGAGAATGCTTTTTGCACGAAATCCCATAAAATTGCTAAAGCACAGGGATAGGAAGATATAATTTACTCAAAACCTAATTGTAGTTAACAAAAAGTGTTAAGTGGGCCCACCTTTGCAGCCACCAATGTGAAGCATTTGAAGATTACAACCATGGGGAATATTCCTTCCACTGTGTTTTACAGAAGGATGATGATCATAAGAAGCATTTAAAGAGCAAAGAGCCAAAACGGAATTTTGTCCAAAAGAAGTGTCACATGCCACAATGGAGTTTAGCTTCAAACATTTGGATATAAGAGCAGATATGCCAACATCACTCACTGAAGTACAACCTCTAAGGCTTATGTAACTTATTGAAACACAGATATTAGATATAGCTCGGAGGTCAAAATCTGGGAAAAAAAGTTGAAAAGATAAGTAAGCAAATTGACCAAAAAGACCCCAAAACAAATGGAATAAATTGAATTGTGACTTGAATGGTTATATATATATATATATATATATATATATATATATATATATATATATATATATATATACCTTGTATGTCATTTCTGCCTTCCAGTATAAGCTTTGTAATATTGGAGGGATTATTATGCCAATATATGGAAGATGATCGGAGGATAGAAGTGGAAAGAAATGAGGATAAAATTGAGACTTGAGTTGGAATTACTGGACTCACATCCACAGTTAAGTCAATATCACAAAGTAAAGGACATTTCTTCACTAACTGCATTACATCTAAAGTCTTGAAGCTTAAATGATTAGCAGCTTTCAACTTTCTCAATGATGGAAATGAGTAGCTGATGATCTCAATGGCAACTTTAAGAGGTAGCATGGGACAATTGGAGAGATTGATCTCATAAACTGCTTCAAAGGTCAAGTTTGACCATTTTGTCCATGGAAAAGCATTTATAGTTTCATGATTGATTAGTGATTTTTCAAATTTTATCCTCAATTGGGGTTCCAAGTTTAGGGAAAATGGAAGCACTGATAAGAGAAGAATTGCAGGATTCATTTGTGTACAACATGAGACATCCACTCTCTGCAAAAAGGACATAGATTTGTATCAAATAATGATGAAGAAGATTGCAGAATGAGTTACATACACATTACACACCTGAGTTAACTCAGTCAAACGAATTCTAAGATTAAGCAACTCATTGTCTTGTAGAGGATCCATTGTAAAAGGTTGTTTCAGCAGGGTAATAACTCCACTATAGCTTTCATTGCAACACATGGATAAGGACTGATAGGTCTTTTTCCCTAAAAAACCAATTTTTTTTTTATAAACATCACCAAATCATTGTATGTAGATAACTTGGGAGATTTTGAACATACCAGAAGCAAACCACAGAGGCAAAAGGGTAACACGAATCTGTAAATACACAAAAAGTGAGTGGAAAATTTAGTGATATGTTTCTAAAAAAAAAATTGTAAACAATAAGATGTTATTCTCTACCTGCTTCAAAAGGTTGATATAGCAATCTTCAGTATATTGTTCTTTGTTAGCAGAAATCCAAATGAGAAGTGCATCACAAAGCTGCATTTCACTGAAGATATCAAGAACATTATTAAATGATATGTTCCTTTTACAATATGAAACAATAAAGGGGCATTCAGAGGCTCTTAGAATGTTTTTCAAGGAATTGGAATTGGAATTGGAATGTTATAATAAATATAAACCAACCTATCTACAGTTAAATTGGGATGCTTTGTGCTAGAAAGCAACAAATCATATGGAACATCAACAAAAGAGCTACATGACATGGCCCAAATCTGCAAAAACAAATATTTTGCATTAATAAATTAATAAATATCAGTAGTTCAACATGATATGCTATGAACTGATTAAGAATATGAAATCGAAACAAGAAACAGAAAATCAAAGCTTCACTGAATTGAATTGATAAATAATAATCAAAATAACAAACTATACTAAGCAAAATAATAACTAAATTACCCTCCACTAATAAGATGCTTTTTATTTACAGAATTTCCAATACTACCCTTTATCTAAGATACATGACTAAAGCAGATGTGGAGGATTGGATAAGGGAATGTACGTACAAAATTCTTTGCAAGATAAGTTGTACATAGTTCAGGAAGATAGTTGTTCACTGCAATGCATAAAAAGACTTCAGCTTATCAGGCATAAGAACAACAAGATCTTGTGAATCAATCATTTCTATCAAATATTAAATAGGAGTAAACCAATGTGGGTACCTAATTAAGTCTATAAAACATCAATAAAATCATTTCATGATTCATGCATATTACATATGTATGACAAATACATACTAAACTGAAAGAAAAACTTAAGGCTTATTTTATAAACTCACCGAGTTCAGACCCAAATTCCCAGATACTGAGAAGATCATTAAGTTGTAGCAAGGGAACTCCATTTACTGATATTGCCTTAGTCAGCCACATCATGCATTTTGAGATAATCATCTCCATACCAAAATAAAGTGCACCCTGCAAAACAAGAAATTATATCTTTTACAATATACAAACTGTAGGGGAAGACAAAAGAATAGATTGTAGCAGAATAAAGAAACTATGAGGTGAAAAAATCAATTTGATTGTTGAATTTATACCTCAAATAGAGAAAGGAAACTTTCAGAAGTAACATCCACTGGTGAACCAAACAATGAAGCCAAGAGACTTAAAAATGTTGGCTGGTTCCACTGAACTAGGATTTCAAGGTCTGGATTGCTGATGATAAATAAAAAAAAATAAGATAAATATTAGATAAAGAATGTTTAAGTTTCCAAGATGATGTAAGTACTCTTTTTCTCTGAATTGGGAGCATAACACACTTTACTGATTAGTATTCTCCACAACTTTATTAGCAATCGATTTCCAAAATCAACCAATCTATCTACAGGAGAAAAATAAAAAGAAGAAAACAAGCTAAACATAAGCTCAAGCTTGTTTAGCAACAAAGCACAAGTACAATTTAGAAATGTTAATTACTTGTTAAGCTTCAGAGTAAAATCAAAGTAAGAGCTAGGCGATGAAAAACAGAATTACCCGAAGTTTCCTCCTAGGAGTCCATGGAAATAGGAAGAATGTTCAATGAGCCTGTAAAATTGAGTACATAGACGGGACAATATAAGCTCATTAGAGTTAAATTTTCAAGAAAAAAAATGAAATTTAATCAGATAAACTAAATCGAAAATGAAAATCATAGCTTTGCCTGTTTCTTTGAGCTTTAACTTTGATTGTTGTGTGTTTAAGAATTGACGGAAAGTTCCAATTATAAACATCGACGGTTGATATCATAACAGCATCTTCATCTTGATTGTGACTAAAATCATCCTGCTCGTTACGATCTATGCATGTGAGAACTACCATCACATCGTCGCTACCGTCTTCTTGAACCAGGGACGCCATGGACTGCTATTGACCTGCGATTTCTAAATGCCTCACAAACAAGAGATTTCAATCAAATTAAATTTTGAAGTAAATTACAGTTGTAGTCCATGTGGTTATATATTATATGGATTTAGTCCAGTTCTTTTGTATGTTAACATTCATCGTCCCTATAAAAAAAATTTAATTCTGAATGACATTAAATCATTGGCCTGGCCCAATGCATGTTGCGATGGCGGCAATGTATTTGACTAATGATAGGTTACATATGTAAAACATATACATTATTTAGCAAACATGCGGTGAAAATGACATATTTACAGAGTAAGTAGAAGGTAGCATTTTACAAAGTAAAGGGTTGGAAGTTTGTCGGTGCAAATACAACAAATTTTTATTAAGGAAAATAGATTATCTATATTACGTGTGTGTGTGTGTGTGTGGGTGGTGGTGGTGGTCGAGAGGGTGAAAGCTATATTTTACAAAGTTTAAAGCCGATTGAGATAAAATGACATTATATAAGTTGAGGGATGGTAGAGGGATAAACACTAAGTTTAGAAAGTGGGTAAACACGTAAGTTTAAAAAGTCGAGGGGTGAAAGGTCTAAATATACGTCTAAACGTTGACCACATCGAAATTATATGGGCACATGCATAAAAATAAGAATGTAATAAATTAGCTTTTTTTAAGTTAACGAACGAAAGTTATTAAAGAAAATCTAATTATATATTACGAGGGTAAAAACGAAAGTTTAAAAAAGTCGAGTGGATGAAAGCAACATTTTACAAAGTTCAGAGTCGATAAGATCAAAGTAATATTTTACAAAGTTGTCGTGGATGTGGTAAATACCAAAGATAAGAAAGTCTAAGGGTCAAAATAAAATTTTAAAAGTTGAGGGCTACTAAAAGTCATATTATATATACTACGGGGAGTAAACACGAAAATTTAGAAAGTTAAAAGTTAAAAGGTAAAAATGACATTTTATAAAGTAGAAGAGTGGAAAGTATCTTTCACAAACTAAAGGGGTTGAAGTTGTCGGTGGAAAACCCTACCGACACTTCAAATTAGGATATGTAATGTGTCTAAATCTATGCAAAACAAATAAATAAATAAATAAAACTTTGCTTTTTTAGGTGTTGTTTGGTTTGCTGGAATTTTTTGGAATCAAAAGGAATTAGAATCTAATTCTAACACTTTCTTATGTTTGGTTCAACTTATAAAAGGAAGTAGATTCCTAAATTAGTCTAATTTTCCTTCCATTGGGGGAGAGTAAATTTCATTCGATGAGGGAATTAAAATCCTTTTTATGTGGGAATGTTGAAGATTACCATATTGTCTTTTTTTTAACACTATATATGAACCCTTAGATCACCACTCGTACCACCCACCACCATCACTACCACATACCACCGTTTCCCCCACCACCACCACTACCACGACCACCCACGACCTCATTGTCACCACATGTCACATCCGATCGGCGGCAGAAACGTCGGAGTTGCGACATTAGCGTTGGATCACAATCAACAAGCATATATTGAACAATACAATCACTTAAGGAAATATATTACAAACTTAGATGTCTTGAAATAAAATTACATTGTTCAAAATTTTAAAAATACGACATTATTTGAAGCATTTCAACAAAACATAATATAGGACGACATAAGGCCGAATCAGAAAAATCATTACAAAAGTGAGGAAATACAATTCCTAAAGAGTCGGTGACATACTTCTAGCATTAATTACCTGATAATACATGCATTTAAAAAATACGTCAACGAAAATTATTGGTGAGTTCCACAAGTTTTGACACCATATGTTTTATTAAAAATGAAGTTTTATAAAACACGAAGCAGTTTTACAAAAATTGTTTCTTTTTATAAAGTTTCAAATATAACAATAATAATATCAAGTGTTGACCCGATTTAAATGTAACTATACTTAAATTCTCATTCAAGTGTAGATGTTAGATCACTTATGATGCATAAGTCAATTTCAACATGATTTTGTGGCGTGAATTATGAAGTGTTTATTTTATTTAAATAAACATTGTCACCAAATTTCTAAGCGTATAATTTATACTACATATAATTTGTATATTATCTTGTATTATGTAAAGCCCGCAAGATAGGGCTAGAGGATTAAAGAATAATAGGTTAATTGATTGTCAAAGTGATAAATAGATGTTATTAATGGAGGATTATTTAGGGAAAATAATCTAAATGAAAGCCATAGTAGTCGTAAAACCGAGAGCGTACATAAGAGAACGGCCAAATCTGACTTCATATGAGGAAGTTATGATTTTTCGAAGTCTCAACGCAACAGTGCGTGACATGGAAAGCAAAATAGAAATCGGTCGATTTTTAAGAAAAACAATGTAAACGAGAGTTGAAGATCTCGTCATTACCTATGCGTCGATAAAACACAGTCGAGAACAGATATCGTGTGTAAAAGTTATGATTTTTATACAGACTTTAACAATCTAAGCATGTTAAAAATATAGCTTTAAAAATAAAGTGATAATTAGTCAACAAAATCTAAATTAAAGTTGTAGATCTTGTTGATAGCTATGGGTGGATATAAAGAACGTCGAAAATGGAGTTAGTATGAACAAGATACGATTTTTTAAATTTCGGGTGCGCCCAAGCACATGCGGCGCACGATGCGCACTGACAAGCAGACGTGGCCCACAAGGTTTTTACTATATGTCACTGTTTGACTGAAGCCACGTCACCAACCCCGACAAGATGTGTGGCGAACATCTATGGTGTGCGGCGTGCACCCCTACTATAAATAGGTTGCAATGCCTCATTTGTTCCTCACACCTCTCCAAACCTCCACTCTAATTCTATGAGTTATAGTTTTGGAATTTCTTAGTGTGTGTGTATTTTAGCGAAGCTCTAGAATCCCTAAGAGCCCGATAAGTGGAAGCTCACGATTCGGGATTCTGCTAGTTCAATTTCCAGACTTCTGTTAGGAAAATCTCTGTAAGTTAAGCTACACTTGTATTGTTTTCAATGTAGCTTATATTTATATTCATAGTTATTATTATGAATCTATAAATGAGATTTATCAGTAATTCCATGTCATAATACTTATTTATCTCCTTATGGGAGTGATGTCTAGGCTGGACTTAATGAGGTGTTTAAAGTGGGATTTCCAAACAGTATACTCTGTACATCAAATGAACCATACATCCGATATGATCCTACCTGGTTGTTCCTTATTTGATAGATCTTGATGTAGACATTGGAATTAGTGAGGAATCTGGACTATCATTAGTCGTCAGGAATATTAGACAAAGACTTAGTGACATTCATACCTAGGTCATGTCAATGGAAAAGTCAAGGTGTTTGGCGGAGCGCTACCAAATTCTCCATTCATCCACTTTAACAAGTGAGTGCATAGTTCATTTCACGAACATGATTTTAATACAAACATTAATTAAAGTATTAAATATCTATTAGAAAATTATATATGAGCTATATGTTTATTGCCTGGTTTATATGTTAGAAATGTATTTGAGGATACACGATATGCAAACCAGATATGGTTCCATATATATATATATATATATATATATATATATATATATATATATATATATATATCATCACGATCTATTCTAGAACATAGAATGAAATATAAATTTTTACATGTCGGTTTAGTCCAAATTGCTATCAAGCCTCTATTCAGACTTGGAATAGATGCCCCTGTTCTCCTTATTTTAAGAGACAAGAGACATAAAGATTTTCAAAATTCTGTTTTAGCTATGGCTGAAACAAATATTGCTAACGGACCTATTTATTTCAATTGTTATCCAAATTTTTCTGTAGGGTTATTTGATAAAAATATTTTAGATACTTTAGTGTTAACTGTAGAAACAAAAAATTTAGAATTTAAAGATGATACAAAGCCTTTAGCAATAATTTATCGTGTCTGTTACAAAACTATGACAACTACACTTGAACCGAAAACACGTTTATCGAGTCCTAAAAATGAAACAATTATTTTTGAAGCAAATACTAACCATACCAAAGTCCACACACCAAAAAGGTTAAAATGGTCTGATATAACTCAATCATGTAATTGGAATTTACAAAATGTTATCGATCCAAAACCACTAGACTCTTCAAAACAAATCTCAAATATTATAGAATATAATGATGGTTCAGTAGATATAAATTTTTCTTCCTTAAAAATTTCATCATCCAGATTATCAACTTCTTTTATCCCAGAAACAAGCTCTTCAAAATCTTCGTTATCAAAGTCAAGATCTTTAAAACTAAAAACTGTTGACTATACTAATTCTATTCCCAAACCATTATATCAAGATGATCAAAATAGTGAAAATAGTTTTCCTAGTCCTACTAAATCAGATTTTATTGATGAACTTCAAAATTTTAAACAACAAATATGAGTTCTAAAGTACAAATTAATTGTTCAAAAAATAATAAGCTTTGGGCTAATATGTTAAAAAGACATTGGAAGATAAATTCTAATATATGCAAAACCATTCAACATTTAGAAGAAACTAGAATTCATGAAGATTATAATTTATACAAAATACTTCCATATACTAATAAATATAATAAACAAATAGAAAAAATTTCTAGGCTAACGATAGGAATAAAAAAATACGAAAAATCACGAAGTCATAATTTAGAATCAATAAAACATATTTCTTCAATTCTAACAAAAACAACCTGTTAAAATGAATTTCTCGAATTTAGAATATCAAGTTGACTTTGATTACTTAAAAAATATTGAGTATTACAAAGATTACAATAATAAAAAAAGAGCTTGGCATGAAGAAAATTTATCATACTACTTAAGATTTCTCTATTTAGGCCTTTGGGAAGATTATGTTTTATCAAATAAAATCCATTCTCCTTTTTTTCAATGGTTTGAGTTAATTTATGCCCCTAAACATAAAATAAATTACCCATTTAAAAATGATTCTATCACTCCCATTTTAGAGAAAAAATATAAAGATATTATTTCTAATAAAGAAATTATTGCTAATTTCCACCAAA